AGGCCACTTTCCTCGAGCTCTGTGCCTGGCTCGCTCCCACCCTCCAGACATGCGACACCCACCGGCGGCCCGCCATCCCCGCCCAGAAGTGTGGCGCTATTGCCTTCTGGAAGCTGGCCACCCCAGACAGCTACCGGCCGGTGGCCAACCAGTTTGGGGTGGGAAAGTCCACCATCAGGGCTATCCTAATGCAGGTAAGTACTCGCAGGATGCAGTCCCTGCCCAGGGGAGAGGGTGCTGGATAAGGGGGACCTTTGGGAAGGGGGACTGGGGACTGTAGGGGGCGGACTGGGAGTGGGGGGAAAAGAAGGCCTGGCCCTGGGGGCTTGTGCAGTCCTGCCCTCACACAGCCCTGCTGCTGAGGGCAGGGCACGGGCTCGTAAGGGGTGGCTCCTGGGAGGTTGGGGGAGCAGAGGAGGGGAGGGGGATGGGCACCTCCCAAAGGCTCACACAACCCCCCTCTCATTCTCTGTTCTGTGTGTGGCGGACTGGGAGTGGGGGGAAAAGAAGGCCTGGCCCTGGGGGCTTGTGCAGTCCTGCCCTCACACAGCCCTGCTGCTGAGGGCAGGGCACGGGCTCGTAAGGGGTGGCTCCTGGGAGGTTGGGGGAGCAGAGGAGGGGAGGGGGATGGGCACCTCCCAAAGGCTCACACAACCCCCCTCTCATTCTCTGTTCTGTGTGTTTCTTTGTCTCCTTCTGCAGGTTGTCTGGGTCATCAATTCCCTGCTACTGCGCAGAGTCGTCCGTCTCCAAGACGTGGATGCAACCATGGGTGGATTTGCTGCCCTGGGGTTCCCCAACTGCGGGGGAGCCATCGATGGCATGCACATCTCCATCCGGGTCCCAGAACATCAAGCGGCCCAGTTCATTAACAGAAAGGGCTACTTCTCAGTAGTCCTGCAGGCCCTGGTGGATCACCAGGGCCTCTTTACAGACATTAATGTGGGGTAGTCAGGCAGGGCACGATGCCTGAGTTTTCAGGAATTCCAGCCTGTGCACCAAACTGGAGGCAGGCATCTTTTTCCCCCGCTGGGACTTTGCGGTGGGTGAGCACAACATGCCAGTGTGCATAGTGGGGCATGCAGCATACCCACTCATGCCCTGGCTAATGAAGCCGTACACCTGCCACCTGGGACCCAGCAAGGACCTATTTAATGCCCACCTCAACCGAGCCCGGATGCAGGTCGACTGCACCTTTGGGCATCTCAAGGGACGGTTCCGTTGCCTCCTCACCTGCCTGGACGTCAGGGAGTGCAGTATCCCCGAGATGGTGGCAACGTGCTGTGTGCTCCATAATATTGTGGAGCCTGGGGTGGGTGGCAGAGGCTGGCCACAAGGGCCCTGTGTTTCAGCAGCCCCAGACTGCTGCCACCCGCCAGGCCCATCAGTTGGGGGTATGCATCCGGGAGGCCCTGAGGGAGAAGTTTTCTGAGGCCCCCCAGTAATTCTCCCCAGGGCTGCCCCAACAGGATATTCTGCTCTCTCCCTTGCCCTTCTCGCCCCTTCCCTACCTCCCAATAAACACACCTGTTTGGTTTGAAAAAAAAATTAGTCTTTTTTTATTCAACATCAAGAGAAGGGGGGCAGGGGAAGAGGGAATGTCTGAATTGGGAGGGGGGATCAGGACCCAGCTGAACATGCCCCTCCTGCCCAACTCTTTCAGGTCCCCAGACCCACCCAACCCTGAACATGTGGCAGAGCAGCCTGCCCCACTAACCCTCCCAGTCCTGAGGGCTGGCTGGGAGAGGGGGGGGCAGGAGGATGGGCCATAGGCATCACTTGGGAGGGTGGATGGGCATTGGGAAGGAAGGGAGGAGGCATGGCATGGGGAGGCAGGAGAGACATAGCAGGGTGGGCAGTGGCCATGGGGGGAGGCAGGAGGATAGGAGGCAGGAGCAGCGGCATTGGGTGGATGTTCCCCCGTGAGGGACAGGATGTTACAGATGTTGTCACAACATGACATCTCTCAGTCCACGCATGCTCCCACCATTCTAGGTTGGCACTGAACCTGTGCGACAGGTGTCATGAATGTTGTGCATGATGCCGACATGTTGCTGCATGAACTGCTCCCCAGGCCTGGCTCGTCTGTGGCTCCCCCAGACTCTGACTGGTGGCTGTGGCGGTGCTGTGGCTGGGTTCTGCATCCCGGCTGGTCCAGCTGTGGAGAACACAGAAAAGGGAGAGGCCGTCAGTCCTCCCTGCACACACATTCTCTGACGCTGTGCCCTCCTGTGTGAGCGGCACCTGTATCAGTCCACAGCCCGCAGGAGGGGGATGTCCCAGGTGCAAGGCCATGTGTGGCCTGCACAGCACGCCCTGTGTCACAGGGGCCTTGAGGTGGCCAGAGGACCATGCTGCCCTTTTCCCCCCTGGGCACGCACACCATGGCCAGACAGGCAAGGGAAGTGTATGGCCCCAGTGTCTCAATAAACACACCTGTTTGGTTTTCAAAAAAAATGCACTCTTATTAATGAAAGATTCTGAGAAGGTGGGCAGGGGGAGGAGGCTCATAACTGAGAGAGGAGGGGGGCTCATAACTGGGAGAGGGAGGGGGCAGTGCAATGTGCCGCCTTGGGTATGGGGACCTTGTTGGAGTTGGGGTTGAGTGGGTCCAGGGAGCACAGGGGGTTTACAGGAGCAGAGTCAGGAGCAGGGGTCAGGGTTGGCATGGAGAGAGGCCATAGGCATCACTTGTGGAGGGGCATGGGCATCACCTGGGCTGTGTCTAGACTGCAGGGTTTTTTCGAAAAAAGTAGCCTTTTTTAAAAAAAAACTTCACCTGCATGAAGCTCCATTCCCTTTTCTGCGCTCAGGGGCTGCCTGCTGTGTCCACGTGCTGCACAGTAATGCTGCATGTGGTTGCACATGCCCAGACTGCAGCAGCATGTGCTGGCCTAGCAGCCCGTGTGACATTTTGCCCTCTGCCCCCTGTGTGGCTACCTTCCCCACCCTGTGTGTTTTTGTGTGTGCCAACATACCTGAAGATCCCTCCCCAGTCTCCTCGGAGGCCTGGGAGACGTCCAGGCTGCAGGGACTGGCTCCAGGGACAAGGTGATGGTCCCACTGTCCTGGTCATCAGCGTCCTCCTCCGTCAGGGGCTGGACCTGCCCCTTCATCTCCTCTGGGTCGGGGACAGGCTCCAGGTGCTGGACTACCAGCTGCTCCAGTCCGGCATCCACCACATAGAGGGGGAAGAGTGTTTCCCCACAAGGATGTGGTGGAGTTCCCTATAGTAGGGGCAGGTGTGGGGTCCTGCCCCTGAGTGCCCTCTCCACTTCCTGGCCTTTCCATACCCCTGAAGGAGCTCCTTCACCTTTGCCCAGACTTGCTCCATGGTCCGGGCAGGGTGACCTCCCTCCGCCAGGGATGCGGCCATGCAGGCGTAGATCTCTGCATTTCTCCTCTTGGCCTGGGGGTCCTGCAGGGACTCCTCCTCGCCCCACAATTCAAGGAGGGTGGCAATTTCTGGGCTACTGCAGGTGGGGGCATGCCTTTTGGTCCCCCTTGGGAGGTCCTGTGACCCCTGTGGCTGGTCCCAGGAAGGGGCAGGGATTGAAGCAGAGTGGCATGCTGAAGGCACCTGCTGTGGGTAAACTTCTAGCCACAAGGCTTGTGCAGGGTGCCTGCGGCTTTAAAGGTGGCCAGCAGACAGGAACAATAGAGTTCTGATTGACTTGGCTGGAGTGGCCAAGAGGCCACCATTTTTTTCCTCTGGAGGCCAATTCTTGTGCAAACCCCCCTGAGCTGTTGCACAAAAAAGAGTTATGCCTCATAGAAGGAGGTATACCTACACTGCAAAAAGCCCTGTGTTCTGCCATTTTACTGTAGATTTACTTGCGCAAAAGTACACTTGAGGTATGGACGCTCCACTGCTTTTTGTGCAAAAACCTTGCAGTGTAGACGTAGCCTAATAATATAAGGGAGCCAAGCAGCATTTTTAAACAGGAGTTACATACAGTAATAGAGATCATGCACATTCAGGAACAGAGATCATTCAATTGCAAGAAAAATATAGACAAAATAAGAACAAACATATGCTCGATATATACCATGGAAAAAAAATATTTTGTGATATTTCAGATGTACAGAACATGGTGACTAAATTGAAATTATAGAAAGTTAGGAACTGAAGGGTCCTTGATAGATCATCTAGTCCTGAAAAGAGGACTAAGTATTATCTAGACCAGGGTTTACCAACCTATGAGTCGGGACCCAAATATGGGACGCCATTACATTTCAAAAGGGTCGCCAAGTGTCTCCCCAGGCAACTCTTCCCTCCCTCCTCCCCTGTTTTTGAATTGCCTTGACTCTTCCCTCTCTCCTCCCCTGTTTTTGAATTGCCTTGAGTCACCAAGTCTTCTTGAATTGTCAAAATGGGTCCCCATCTGGAAAAGGTTGGGAACCGCTTATCTAGACCTAAGGTTGCTGCTCTACTTGTTTGGCATCTGGGCAAGGTGGGGGGCATTGAAGGGCCTCACCCAGCCAGCCTTTTGGTGCTGCCCAGAGTGCACTGCCCAGGGTTCTGGCAGTGATTTCAAGGGCCTGGGGCTCCGGTTGCTGCCATTGCTGTAGGAGTAGCAGCAGCAGCTGGGGGTCCTGGCCCTTTTAAATTGCTGGGATACAAGGCAGCTGCTTATTTTGCCCCCTCACCTTATGTCAGAACACAGCTCTGCCTAGACCGCTCCTGACAGGTGTTTGCTTACAAATCCACAACCTCCCTAAGTAATTCATTCTACTGCGTAACTATCCTTGTTGTTAGGAAGTTTTCCTAAATGTCTAATGTAATTCTCCTTTGCTGCAATTTAAGCCCATGGTATCTTGTCCTATCCTCAGTGGTTAAGAACAATTTATCACCCTCCACTTTATAGCAACATTTTATGTATTTGAAGACTTTTGTCCCCCAATCAGTCTTCT